TCGGTCGTGGAGACTTGTACGGCTTCTTGGTTGAAACATTCAATATATGCCCAGATGGACTCATCCCTCCATTGGATGATCGCCTCCAGGGATGCTTTTGACTTTGGATGGCGGTGAGACACCGTAAAGTGCCTGGAAAATTGTCTTCCCAGGTTCTTCCACGACGTGATGGATTCGTCTAGAAGGCTCTTGTACCATACCATGGCCTTTTTCCTGAGAGTTGTAAGAAAGATTCGGCATTTGATCGCTCCACGAACTCCTCTGTAGTCGAGCATCACGTTGATGTTTTTTATGTGCTTATCAGGGTTAGTCATTCCATTGTAGGTCCCCAGGTGAGTAGGTTTCTCTAGACCGACAGGGAGTGTGGTCTCTATAATTTCTCTTGATAACGGGCCGTGAGGCTCGTCGTTGTCACTTTTCTCATGATATAGTAAAGGGGAGTGGTGATCCATTCCTCGTTGGAGGTTGTTGTCTTGTCGGGGAGAGGTGCTCCTTCTTGGCTTGGGTGACAGTAAGTGGTCGCAGTCAAGTTGGTTGTTTTATGTCTTCTTGGAGATCAGGGAGCGTCGATTTTTACATGGAGGTGTGCAACCTCATTTCTTGATGAAAGAAACCTCTTGTTTCTCCCGTGTGGAGGGACGACCAAGCCTTGGTAGAGATGGACTGCGAGAGTCATAAAATTGGTGTCTCCAAGGAGGATATTTTGATCGCTGCATGATTAGGGCATTGGTTTAATTGAGGGTAGAGAGCAGTTCTGCCGTGGTTAGGTCATCATTTGGTGGAACAGGAATTGGTTAGAGTACTTCCGGAAGCTCCTCTTTGGGGTTCTTGGACCTTTGATCATCCAAGAGTTAGAGGTTGCCATGTTCAACATCAATTAATTTTGGGAATGCTGTCTGACCATCTTTGGTATCGGGGATATCTTCTAGGTGAGGAAGTTCTTGGCTCCCGTCTTCCTTATGGATAGGAGAAAGTACAGTTTTTCCAGATAAATGGTGGTCATTGTTATCTGCCATGAGTTTTCCAAGAATAAGATAACTCATGGTTTATTCCTTCAGAATCACAAAAATTCAGAGAATTTTGCATTCTTAAACTCCTTATCATTGTCACTTATGACTTTGACAATCCCACTCATCTTCTATTCTTAAATGTTTTGACACAGATTTTTGAAGACTTCAAAAGTATCTGATTTCTCTCTAATTAAGTTCATCCAAGTATATCCAGAGAAGTCATCTACAACCACTAAGACATACCTTTTTCCTCCTAGGTTGTCTATTTGTAATGGTCCCATTTTATCCATACGAAGAAGTTCTAAAACGTTGGAAGTTGTCTGATTTTCCAACTTTGAGTGTGACATCATGATTTCCTTTTTATTTTCACACTCTTCGCAGACTTTTCCTTCTTCAATCTTGAGCTCTGGAAAATCTCTTATGGCTCCTTCAGAAATGATTTCCTTCATTCTTTTAAAATGAAGATGTCTAAGCTTCTGGTTCTATAGCTTCACTTCATCCTCATTGGTTGTTGAACACATGGAAGACTAAGCCATTATTTTGAGATTCCCATAAATAGAAGTTGTCTCTGGACCTAACCCCTTTCATTAGAATAACTTACTTCTCATATTTGACTAGACACTCTAATTTAGAGAAGTTGACTAATAAACCTTGGCCACACAATTGAATAATGATAATAAGATTAGCAGTTAATCCTTTGAAAAACATCGTATCTTCCAACCTGGGACAACCATCATACATCAGCTTTCCAACTTCTTTGATTTCTCCGTTAAAACTATCACCAAATATAACAGAACCCATGGGATGTGGTTTGACATCCACCAACATCTTCTGGACCCCTGTCATATGTCTAGAGGATCCACTGTCAAAGTACCAGTCTTCGCTGGTTAAGTCTCTCAAAGAAATATGTGTTATAAGGTTAAAATCCCTATTTTCAACAGTTCTCTTTTTACTCATTGTATTATCCTTGGAACAAACTAGAGTTCTTTGATCTCCATACAATTTCAAACATCAAGGTTTTATATGACCAGACTCACCACAGTAGTGACATCTCCAAGTAGAATGAGGTTGGTTTGAATATTTATCACATTTGTAAGGACGTTGTAACATGAGTTTTGACATGTTGATATTTTTCTTCTTCTCATAAGGAAAGAGCTTCTCATCAGTTACTCTTCTTAGTTTATTATCAGATTGATAATGAACTTTGGCCTTTTCATCCTCTTTCACCATATTTATGGAATTTGTCAAGTTTTCAAGTTTGGAGTTTAAACGAATTACCTCATTTTGTAGATGAGAGCTAGTACATAAGAGTTTCTTCTTCTCATTCACAAAATCAAAAATGATATTCCTTTGTTCTTCCTCCTTCTTAAGGCTTTCATCACACTTTATTATGTAGTGGTAAAAAGTTGAGACTAAGATATTGATTCACTTAACTCATATAGTGAAAATTACCACCGCACTTTATTGTTTCCAAAGGGAAATGGGAAAAGAGATAATAAAATCCAAAATAAAAATAGAGATCAAGGTATGGGGATCGGTTATGCAAAGGGAAGATATTATAATCCTAAACATCTATGGTACTCCATAGGATCCACAATGTTTGTTCTAATCAAAAGAGTGTGTTATATTAAGCTTAAACTTGCTAAAAGGGAATGCATGTAAGAGTTGTTAAAGAAGAAAAAGAGAGTTTTTTATTGTTGCACTCGCCTCGGTTTTGAAACCTCGTGCATACGTACCTGTCATTCAATAGGGAATCATAGTTTTATAGTTCTTCTGAAAAAGAACAAAACTGGGTGTGTTGATTGATTTTAAATGAAGAGACAAGTTGTCATTTTTAAGGAGAAGACTCGACTAATCTACCACAAAGTATGAGAAATAGGAACAATGCACCAACATGAGGGAGGGGTTGGGCACACCTCTAGTACTCGAGTGGAAATGCCAGCATCTTTCCAACCATGGGGATAGTGGAATGATATCTCGATTAAAAATGACTCATGTCTAATCTTGAAAAAGGTTTTAAAGGAGAAAAGGTGCACGAGGGAACAAAAAGGTTTGAATGAGGTTGAAGTATTTTGTTAGCTTGAAAAATTATTTGGCAATTTGAACCATATTAAAGACTATGATATGAGAGGCTTTGGATAGTCGAGTCAGACGCCTCGTATCCAAAGTAACTCCACATGTGTTTAAGGCTCGTGACACATGATTCGCCTCTTTATTGCTAAGTGTTTTAAGTTTTTATTAAGAAAAAGAAGTTTGAGAAAAAAAAGTCGCTTGACAAAGTCAAGGTTTGTCATGAAAATGGTTAAAGTTTGAAAAAATAAGAAGGTTTTGAAAAAGATGAGAAGGTTTTGGAGGATATGAAGAGACTATCCCATGTACAAGAAAATAAAAGCTAAGGTAAGAAAAGGTCTGACCAAACAAGAAGCCGACACTTGACATAATAAAGTCAACATAGAATTACCATCCTTTGGATTAAAGCCACATGCAAAGAATAAACAGATAGTATACCAAGCATCAGGTGAAAATAAATCATAAGCAGAAAGCAACAGAGAAAACCAAGGTATCAGATAAAGCTCGAAGAATGAGATGGTCATCAAATCTCAGATAAAAATCTGTGCATCAGATAAAACCCAAACTAAAAGACCAAACCAAGATAAAAAAGATATAACCTAAAAAGTATCATGTGAAGTATGAAATCAAAATCCGAATGAGTTAGAAATATGTATAAGAGCTAAATGAGTAAATGAAATATGAAGTGCATGTTTAATTAATTAATTAATTAAGAGTTGATTAAATTAATTAATTAGGTTAAGAAAAATTAATTAGCCAAACTAATTAATTTTTAATAACAAAATCAACTAATTAAGTCGGCTTCTAATTAATTAACTAAAAGCAACAAAGAGATACTAAGAGGAAGTGAACACTTGAGCCATATATAAAACCTTAACAAACCATAAACAGTTATTAACACAAGAGGAATTGTAATAAACCAAATGAAACTCGCATTAAATTACATGGATAACTAAACTTAACCCAAAATCAACATACATGTATGAATGGAAAGGCACAAGGCAAGATTCAAGGATTAAATCACATCTAGCATCAATTGAGAATTAACAAAGTAAGTAGTAAAGACAATTAAGTCTCAAAAACAACTTCAAGCACTTAATCCATTCATTAGAAATAAAAACCAATTAGTATACACTCATATTGCTATTCAAGACATATTCAAAACATGAAAAACAAGATTAGAATTAAGCCTCAATCAATTAGATAAAAAATTGGGCAGCAACTACACATAACCAATTATGCCCCCAAAAATCCTACTCAAACATGTTTGAAACCAAATAGAAACATCTCACAATTAATACCGAGTTTTAACACTAAAAAATAACAACTTAAATTTAAAAAAACAAGTCATCAACATCTCTTGAATTAGTTAAGGCAACATGGTATCGACATCACAACTTACTCAATCTTAGCATGAATGGTACTTAGAGCATAGTATCGATGACAACACTCAATCAAATTGATTCAAATAGCATGGTAATCTTTGATTCCACACAAATAATATGCAATCAATTAATATTTCAACTCAAGTAAACCATGACAACAACTTCATCACTTATTACCAAGATTTCAATTAATTGTAAAGTTCTCTTTCAACCCATAAAACTCTATAATCTTCAATCAAAGTTATCAACGATTCAACATTCAAACCAAAAACAACAACAATATCATCCATTTTCTTTAATTCTAACAATAATGTCATCATGTTCAAACAAAATAACATCACCACGAGTCTTCAACAATTATATTCAATAATCTCAAAACAATAACAACACAAACTTCCACACTCATTTAATGGTTTCAACAACAATATTATCCATAATTAAATTCAATATTCGAAATAAGTTCATAAATTACAACACGAATTTGTCATTAAAATTAAACTAAAACTCAATAACATCCATAGAATTTCATTATCAATTATGACAAACTAGAAATTAAGCTTATAATAAAAATAATGATGAAAGTAATTACCCAAGTCTCAAAATAAGAGGTTGTAACCGCTAGAACTTCGGAGGACTGTTGTGTAGTTGTTTCGGTGGTTGACATAATGGCAGCAAGGAGTATGGTTGGACGTGGGTTATTGTGGGTTTGAGTGGTTGTCTGAGCAGATAGAAGAGACGGACGGGAACAGGGAGTTGAATGTGGTTGGAAGAAATTGACGGAGGGAGTAGCTCGCATGTGGTGAAGGAGGTTGTACGGTACTGAGGTAAAGACGCCCAGATAACTAGGGGTGGCAATTAAGTCCATTAAGATAAAATTCATCCAATCCATCCGCTAAAAAGTTCATCCACCAAATAAAAAGTAAGTTAATGGATTGGATTAAATCCATCCATTTATGTACATGGATGGATCCAATCCATCCACCACATTTTGATGAATCAATGGATTAATTTTATATTATTATTTAAATTCAATAAATTTATTTTTTAAAATTAATAAAACTTAATTTTTTTTTTTGAAAATAAAGAAAACTATGTTATTCAGAATTTCGAAAAATCAAGTTTTTTTTAGAAAATAAAAAAAAAAACGAGTTTTTTTTGGAAGATTGAGTTTTTTCAGAAAATTGAAAAATCAAGTTTTTTCGGAAAATCAGAAAAATCGAGTTTTTTTGAGAAATCGATTTTTTCAGAAAATTGAGTTTTTTTTCGAAAATCGAGTTTGTTCTAAAAAATAAGTTTTTTCGGAAAATCAAAAAATTGATTATTTCCAGCAGAAAATCGAAAAGTCGAGTTTTTTTGGAAAATCTAGTTTTTTCAAAAAATAAAAAAAACCCGCTACTCATCACGCTTCACGCTTCAGCTGTGCAACTTTGATCATCCGTCTTAAGTCACAGTCCTTATTAAAATTTCCATCAACTATATAATTTACAAGTTTCAATCTAGTTTCAGACTTCTTTAACATCCACCATAAAATCGTTGTTCACTTGATATTCCCAATCTTTCACTTTGTGACGTTAGCTCGCATAAAAACCCGCTACTCTGAATTGTTCAATACTCTCAACTCTTTCCTAGCCACTCCTCTATTACTTCACACAAACTGGTGAGCGACTATCCTCATGATATAACATCAATCAGTTTACACACCATTAAGATAGCAAGACAAGTCTACACCATCCAACACGATCTCGTCTACTATCAACAAGAGATTAAGGTGATCAGTTCCTCAATTTGTCAATAGATAGCCGACAACCATAATGGAGTATAAATCATCGTTACCAAACTATAATAGTGTTCTTTTAAAACTTGTACTCAAGTCAACTAAAGAACCATAATCCAATAATTTCCAATGAGGTTTACAAATACTCCCTCAATTTTCCTCTCATTCGATTTTGTCAATGAGACACCACCGCTCAACATATTACACGGTCCACATTATACTCACTTAGCCTCACACTAAGGTTAAGTATCCTCCAACTCAAGAATTACTTTCTTCATCTCCGCATCATCAGGAATGCAAATTCGATTACGGAATCTCAACACACCGTACGCATCTCACTTGAAATCATCATTCTCAGACTGGTCGAGTCTAACCACCGAATCTACCAATTTCATATCTAACTTATGAGCTTCTTAGATATTATCCAGAAAATCATTCATAATCTTCAACATCCCTAACATAACACTATTCAGTGTCACTTCTCAAACTAAGCTCATATCTCTGATCTATTCAACTAACTCAATTCTTTAACCATCATTGTTGACATATGTAAAGTCTTTTGACTTAACGCATCAGCCACCACATTAGATTTTCCTAGATGATAATTCAAACTGAAACCATAATCTTTCAACAACTCCAACCATCTTCGTTGTCTCATGTTCAATTCTTTCTGATCAAATAAATACTTTAAACTCTTATGGTCGTTAAATACTTCAAATCTAGAACCAAAAAGATAATGTCTCCAAATCTTCAACATAAACACCACCGCTGCTAACTCTAAGTCACGCGTAGGGTAATTCCTCTCATGAACTATGAGTTGTCTAGAAGCACAAGCAACAACTTGTTCATTCAGCCTTAGCAAACCACTAAGTCCCATCTTAGACGCATTCATAATACACTACCAATGACTCACCCGGATTAGGCAAAACCAATACCGGAGCAGTCGTCAAGCTTTTCTTTAGTTCTATAAAACTTTCTTCACATGCAACATCCCATACTTGAAATGATGAACAGCTATCCTTTTTAATGCTGAACATCACATTTCTCAACTTATTCTCCAACAACATATTATGCTTGACCTTGTCTTGAACAACTGTGATAATAATCATGTATGCCCAAAAATCCTCTAGTTGCATAAACGACTTCGGAGTTCCTCCATATGGAAATGCATCACTCATATTTGAAAACACTTTCATATGATAAAATATATTTCTATCTCCTCATAGGTTCAAACGGAACACCAATCTGATACTCGAAACACAAGATATGAATTTCCAAAGTTATCTGAAAATGCGAACACCGAAGTCATGCAACGACATACTATTACACACCTTACGATAACATCATAATAGAATTTCTTTGTACCAGTACCAACACTTACCATCCTTGAAATCGTACTCATCTCCTCACATTTCCGACTCTGACTCGGGATTCAAAACATTCAAACAACTTTTACAATCACTCACAAGGATCCCACGACAAGGTCTACATCAATTTGTCACTCTATCACCATTCAAACATCGACATCTTACGCAAGGAATACTCAAACCGACAACTTCACAATCCACCAACAGCGCTGAACATCACAACTTTCTAAATTCCATCTTCTAAAAATTATCCTTGTTACTTAACAATCACCTTCAGAAACATCAGGGATTTACACTCTACTCGTATATCAACAACCGTTACATTGCTCCTCATCCTTCAAGATGTAAACATCAACAATGTCTAATCATCCTCCCTCAAGACGTCCCAACTTGATTAACAAACAAAATCTTTAATCCATGTCACCTTCGGATTCGGGAAACGACAAAACTTCAACAGTACTTACACTGTCACCATACCGAACAAACATCTTACAACCAAAACATATCCGAGAAGCAAAGTTTCTCCCCCACTTATCTTCAAACCAACTCCTGCATACAAGCGATTAGAAAAGCAAGAAAACACCGACAATGTTTCACACACTTGTCGCGTACTAATGAACAAACAACATTAAACAACTTGGTTGGACTGACCGACCTGCTCTGATACCAAATTATAACACCCCAATTCTACCCGACAATTATTATAAAATCAGAGTTATAAAATTCAACAACTAAATCAGGATATTATAATTTCAACTTAAAACAACGACACTCATTACAGACACATAACACATTAACTTGAATGAACCAACAACAACATAAATTAATCTTTTTAAAATCATAAACTTTCGTAACTTCGCAGCCGAATCAAATATTCAACTTTAAAGAATATATCATCTTCTTCCAACTGAAATAACTTCAAATGATAAGTATTTAACGAACAACAACTTAAAGTTCAATCAACTGAAATAATCAACAATAAAACAACAAGCGTTCATCCCCTCGAGTGTTACATATCAGAGCAATGACACTGACTCAAACTATTAAAGGTAAACTGCATTCACTCTAGATTACCTGCACGTTACCAACATCAGGGTAACATTCAAACAAAAGGGGTGAGATATCTAACAATATAATTGAACGTATGATAAACATTATATTACAATTCGTTCATGCAACATCAATGCTTCACAACTTATAAACAACAACAAATCACGACAAATATCAACAAAATATAACGATTAATTCATCAACACAACAACTCAAATATGCAACGTGAAATGTTTCTCGTTACAATGCGTATGCATGTGGTACCAACGGAGCAAAACTCCGAACTTAATAGTCTGCCAATAAATAGAGGCATCAACAAGGCATAAGCCTTCAACTTAATATTTTGCCAACCGAGGCCAACTTAACGAGCATCAGCTCCAACTTGATATGTGATGTATGCGACACAACATGAACGTAGCAACAACAACAAATAATAACTCAACATGAATCAATGTTGGCCATAAGCCTACATCTTAATAATTAAACTTAATTCAACATTGGCCATAAGCCTACAACTTAATAATTGCCAATTATAGATGCAATACAACATAACTCACCACTACCTGTAACTTTAACAATTAATAACAACAACACAACAACTTACACATGCCAATAATATTATTAACATGATCCTACTAAAATACTTCTACTAAATTATTCTGCTGATAAGTCTTATTAATAGTTTTCGGCTAAATTATTGAAACTATTATTTACTGTCACTAAATCATCTCTACTGCTACTATATATTAGTTACTAATGTTTCTGTTATTTACTAATAGTCTGCAACTAAAACCATATCAATTACTAACTATGTAACTTAATAATTATCTCTTCTATTTTTATGCTAATCCATGAATTGTTCACTTCTGTTACTAATAAATAGCCTTTGCTATTATTCATTTCTTCCTAACTCTGCTACATATTTTTCTGTAACTAAGTACTAACTCAACAAATATACATAAAAGATACAGGGAACCATTAAAACAAAGTAGCAGACACACGATGTGCCCCTCGGCACACAGGTTGTGCCACTCGGCACTTACACCACCAAATTGTGCCGCCCGACACACCCTTTGTGACGTCGTTCACAGCCGAATATGCTCGTGCCCCTCGTCACACTATATGTTCCCCTCGGCACGGCATGTATTCATGCAGCCTTTCATAGACTTCAGCCTGTTACTGATACCAAAACAGAATCCTCCAGTTTTTTCCTTCGATTACAAGTCTCATATCAAAACAATATATATTTGTAGCAACATCAATTTTTCACTGAAACTACAACTTTTCAGGGACGACAATCTTTCCCAATTAACCACATGTATTAATCATATCACCTCCATTAATCAAATTAATCAAAGCTATTACACAATTTTTCAGAAAAACTCCCACATAACATTAATCATATACCCAATTATAGAGTCAGAACCTCACCCTTACCTTGGATTGGAGACTGCTCTACAATTCTTCGATCAAACATACCTTTGCATCTTTTCCCTTTTGTTCTGCAACTTCTACATTCTCTTTCTCTCTTCCAACTCTTATTCCTCTTCTACTTGACAAAACCAATTTTCCTTAATGTCACATCTAATTTCTTTTTCATATTCAACTTAATCAATATAACAACACTATTATTCTTCTATTCTCAATAATTCCATTGGGCCTAATCTCAACACCCCCACTTTCACTACCACCAACCAT